ATTATTGAGGAAGCTGTCAAGTGCCATACACAATATGATGACACAGAAAATACTACCCTCTACAATTATAATGCTATTTACAGCCATTGGGAACAGGTTTGTAAAAGACCTTGTAGAACATTTGACAGTGTCTATCTCAACGAGAAAGTCAAGTCTCTTTTCCTTCAAGACTTGGAAAGATTTCTCTCCAACAAGAAGTTTTATATGGAAAATCAATTGAGCTACAAGAGAGGATATTGTCTTTATGGAAAACCAGGTTCTGGTAAGACATCTTTGGTTCTGGCTACAGCTGCACACATCAAGTGTCCAGTTTATATTTTGAATCTCAATCAATCAGAAATGAACGATACAGCATTAATAGATGCCTTTTCTTCAATACCCTCTCGAAGTATCATTACTTTGGAAGATGTAGATTCTGCATTTAATGAAAATAGAAAAGCAACAGGAGAAGTACGTAATGGACTTTCATTTTCAGGACTTCTCAATGCCTTGGATGGTGTTTGTTCTTATTCTGAAACTCCAAAGCTTGTTTTCATGACTACTAATCACATTGAACGATTAGATGCTGCCCTAATTCGTCCTGGAAGAGTTGACTATAAGGTAAAATTTGACAATGCCACACCAGATCAAATTCAACAAATCTCTTTCAAGTTTTTCAAAAATCAAGAATTGGCTCAATCTCTCAGTAAGGAGGTGGATTTACAAAAGCTCACCATTTCTGAAATTCAAACTTTCCTAATGAGATTTATCAATACAGAGACTCATTCAACAATTCTTAAACAAGTGTCAAGCTATGTTTTGGAAATTGAATCCCTCAAAAAGGAGCAAAATGGTTGAAGTAATTCTGACGCGAAGAAGAACAAATTAATAACGAATAAATCAAATGGTAATACTTCGCACTCAAAAATTGGAGATTATGAAAGATTTCTTATTTGGTGATAATTATGAGTGAACAATGATTTTCAAAGGCTTGTTCAAAAAATGTGAAATAATTTGATGAACATGAGTATTTAATTGGGTTCCTCAATCATCCACTTAAAAACCATCATGCTCCCGTTCGCTTCCTCTTCATCTCATTCAAAGAGAAGTAAGAAGAAGCGAATAAGTACATCATCTAATGTTCAAAGTGGTAGTAGCAGTGGTTTATCTAATATCACCATCAAGAGAGTTGGATTTTTTCCACTTAGTATTCATAGAGTTGTGGAATTTTCACCTATTATGGAAGAAATTGTGAATTGTTTGATTGTAATGGAGTTACCACTTCATCACAAGTTTGCTCTGCGCGTGGAGGTCCTGCTTAGAACTCTAAAATGTGGGTAAAATTTATGTTGATTTTCCAAGAAATGCATTCATAAAAGTTGGTGGCTTAGTCAGCTCCAACTTTCACTTCTTAGGTGTGAAAGTTATGTGTAAACTAAAGTTAGGGGGCTCTACTTTTATTAACTTTTATACAGTGGACAGTAAAAGTTGGGTGCTGTCTTTAAATTAGTTAAGGGTTATCTTTTAAGGCTCACTTTTCACTTCTTTTTTCAATCAATATTGACTCACACAAGAACAACGTTGAAATTCATATAAATAAACTTTATTGTATAATACTAATTCATTGTAATAATTATACTTTAACTGGTAAATATATTAACCATGCTGAATGATGTCACATTGTAAATATACCAGAGTTACTATAATTAAATTATAATTAATCTAATTAAGTAAAAAGCATCAATAGTATTGCTAATAGATTTGAAATTAGATTGTTAATTATGAATAGATTTTCCACATCAATAACAAAAAGTATGATTAATGGTTAATATTAGTAAAAAGTAGGTTAGTTCAAAAGAATGGAATGACATTTCAACATTCTAGTGAAGGAAAGGAAGATATGACATCTGTATGATCTCAATCATTCAATATACTTACTCTGATCATCTTTGTATCCTTCCGTCACTTTGAAACGGAGACTACAATAGTCGCAAGCTTAATCTATTGAATGTCCCTCATCATATCTAGATGTTGTTACTACTATGGGCATCTTCCATTGAAATGTCTAATCCCCCAATCTCTTCACTTCCATTTAATTCTTCCTCACTCTCCTCCGAATCATCACTCTCCGAAAATACAATCTTTTCTTCTTGGTTATCCTCTTTCATAACACAACCATTCTTATTCTTCCACCATCTTTTCCTTCAAGTTTGGAGATTGATTCTCTGAGTTGAGCAATAATGAGCCCGAGATCCTTCTTCTCAACTTCATCATTTCTCATCAGAAATTAATTTTTCAAGCTTTTCAAGAGTTGAATCTTTTTCTTCAGCCAATTTTTTACTGGTGGCCAGTTGTTCACCAATTTCCTCCTTTGCTCTTCTTGTTTGCTTCTAGTAGCGGCGTATGATGCAGAGGTAGCATGTTGGACTCTGAATCCAAATACGCAGGTTCGATTCCTGCTACGCTGGTTTAACTTTTTATTTTAGACTTCCATCTTTTAAATCTTTGCATATAGTTGTTTATCTATCAAAATCTCAAATATCACCTTCTATCTCTAAATATCCATTGAGAATGAGCTGTTCTAAAGAATCCAAAATATTGTTAGATTATTTTTTTCTTGCATCGAAGCAACAAGTCTATTTTGCCGACTCATTGATAATTTTTTTGGATCGCTGAGTTTCAATGATAGCATTTCTAAGGTTGGAGACAGGTTTGTGATTGGTACGGTTGCACAAGACCCATCCATTATATATGGATTTGAAGTACTATATTTCAGATCTTTCATTGTGGCAGCATTTTTCCACAGTGAATCTGTAGTTTCACCCTTGAGCACCTTATTTATCATGGCTCGTGCCATAATCTATTCAGATTCTCATAGGTTATATAAATTATTTGGAGTTCATTAAAAAAAAATGTCTCCTAAAATCTCAACCTATAATGATGATCACTCACACGTCCACTGTTGGACGCATTTAATGATGATGTGTTACGATTAATTTTATCATTTCTTCATCAAGCCGATTTATTACAATTGGAAATTGTTTCTAAAGGATTGAGAATTTGTCAGCTTTGTTCCGAAGATCAATATTGGAAGGAATTTTGTTTGGATCATGTTCGGATGATGAAGAAGGAATGTCAAGAATTTAATAATCTATTTTATAAAGGGAGTGGTGGATCGAGAGAAATTCGACATTTATTGCAAAAGTATGAGCAATTCCTGATATTGGAATGTGATTTTAAAAAACATTTTGTAGAAGTGTGGAGAATGATTGAAAATCTTGTTGAACAAGATCATGCGAGAGTTATTAGACGAATTGATCAATTGGAACAAGTGAAGAGCAAACAACCATTTATTGATCTGTCTGAAATTAGAAAGTATACACTGAAAGATTATTCAAAAAAGGATTTACCAAGTTATAAAATTACACAAATTGGTAGGTATTAGTCGAAATTTATTAGAAAGGAATTATGATGATTATTTTCAATAATAATTAGGTGATGGAGCTATTGGAAAAACGTGTCTCTTTATCAGAATGGCCTTAAACACCTTTCCAGAGGACTATGTTCCAACAGTATTCGATAATTATAGTGCCAATTTTATTTGTCAAGACATGACATTCAATCTCTCCCTTTTTGATACATCTGGTGCAGATGGTATGTTTTCATGATTCAGATTTTTCGTCATATTTTGGATTTTATCACCATTTAAAGAGTATGTACAAGGATCATACATGGTCCTGATGTATTATAGAGATACAAGTTTATTCCTTTTGAGTTTAGTTGTCTTTCTGTTCGGTCATTGGAGAATATTATTGACAAGTGGATTTCTTTAATTAGAGGTCAAAATCCTAGTACACCAATAGCTCTCGTATGTACAAAAATCGATGTGAGGAATAATAGCAAAGAGTGTAAACGTCAACTAAGAACTAGACTTACCAAACCATTAACATATGAAATTGGTGAATCATTAGCAAAGAAATTAGGATGTATTGCTTATTTCGAAACAAGTGCATTGACCAGTGAAGGAATGGATTATTTTCCGAAGGATATCATCAAGGCATATCTTAAAAAGAGAAGGAAGGATTGCATATTACAGTAATAGTTTCTTTTATATTGGTAATGTAATATTTATTAACTAGGAACCAATTCACGCTCAATGTTGATGAGATTTTCAACGTTTTTAGAGACTTGTATTAAGGCACGAATAAGGGGTGTTTGTTAAGACAATGTGAAGCTGGCGTAGCTCAGTCGGTAGAGCGTTGGTCTAATAAGCCATTGGTCGCCGGTTCGATCCCGTCCGTCAGCAGATGTTTTAGGTTTGGATAACAACTTCATAACAAATATTATAAATAAAGAGCAAAGTTCCCAAAATGAATAAATATTGAAGTTGCCCAGTAGATGCATGAACACAACTCTGCGCCATTGTCTTTTGAGACTGAGGAGAAAACAGTTCATTCTATATTGTGAATGTTATCCTACACGAAAGGAAAGGATTATTATTGAAGAATTATTCAAATAAAAGTTTCTTATAAAAATATGCAAAAGAATTCATCTCATCAGGATATGGTGAGCGAGGACTTCTTGTAAATCCTTTCTCCCCATTCCCAACTACTTTACCAGTAGTAAGATCTCCTCAGGGAGATCACTTGACTTGGTGGTCTGTTGTTCCATTTAATGGTAACTATTTGCAATTCTCAATATAATTAACTATGAACCATAGTGTTGGAATGGAGAAAAGAGAAAATATATTTGTTATTGTGGTTTTATTGGTTTCTAAATTATTCAAAATGTTTCAATAGCGAAATTAAGACTTCAAAACTGATGGTTTTAAAAATATATGTTGGTAAATTTAAGTAAAAATTTAATTTTACTTGCTGTCCATGTTCTTTTTACCAAGATAAAAAGATAGCAATCTTGGCTCTTGATGTTCCAATTATACCTTGATTTTGTAAACCGTACTCTGAGGAAAAGTAGAGAATTGGTCCCTTCTTTCTTTCCACTCGATCCTTCTCACTTGTATTATTAGCTAGAGGTGGTAAAGTATAGGCAAATACATAGTTATTTCCTGAAAAGATTTGGGGCAGTGGCGGCAGAATGACTTCACCAATCAATCTCTTTTCCTCCTTTTGAAATGCCTTCTTTTCTTTGAGAAGGATTTTAATTTGATCGAACATGATAGCATAGCAAACATCTGGATTGGCATCTGGACCAGTAATATCACTATTCAGTAATTATTAAATTCCATAAATTATTCCAAAAATTGAAAAGTATTCCAAATAAATCTTGAGTCATTAAAGTTAATAGAGATACATACTATTCGAAAATCTCGTTAAATTTAGGGTTCTTACTCTTAATAACCTTAGTTTTACACTTGTCGTCGTTAAACCATAGAGAAATATACACATCCGATAAGAATGGAATATCTTCCACACTTTCCAATTTTACAATTAGTTTCTTTGGTGGAAGAGGTTGAAATTCATTGCTCGATCTAAATTTCCATCCCAGCTTTGGTTTGTAATGAATTCCTCCCACGATTTGTCTCCCAAAATTGTTCTTTCTATTATTTACAATTGTATTAAATCTACACAATTCCTTTGCATTATCTTCTCCATATGTCAAATCCAAAATACTCAATGTCATTTTGTTTGAGAAGGGCACTCTCTTGATGATTTTAGTTTCTCCCTTTCTCTTTTGAATTTGTTGCTTGAGGAAGAATTCAGGTGATGTGAATTCAACAAAGAAAATTACATAGTGGAATCTTTCATCGGTGAGGGTTTGATACTTGTCCTGTTTTCCTTTTTTCAAATTTAACAATGCAATTTCCTCCTGAACTGTTGCCTTCTTTGATGAAGTCGTCGATTGTTCATCTCCTGATCCATCATTTGATGTGTTATCAGTTGGTTTTTCCTCTGCATCCTTTGTTCGTGTATCTAGGAATGAAATACTTTCGAATGCAGAAATTTCATCCAATTTTAATCCTTTCTTCTTCAGGGTCTTTTCATGCTTGGGAATGGAAGCAATACTGTGAAATGTTCTTGGTCCATTACTTTGATCGGAGGCAAAATAACAAATTGGAGCTCCAAAACTAGAATATGCCACTGCATACATTGTGTATGGCACATCCACTTCAATGGTTTCCTCCTTTGTTGTGTGTGATTTTGCTGACTCTTTCACTTCTCTAGAAATTGAATCCTCTCTCGCTAATTCATCATAGAAACCTGTCATGTTTTCATCATCATTATCATCATTATAATTTTAAAGAGAAATATTCGATAAATATTATAATCCGATTATTGTGTTAATATTCAATTATTAATTTGTCAAACGGATCATCACTTACCATAATCATCATTATCGAAAAACTTTTGTTTCGTCTTCATTCTATGATTATTAGCCGAATCTTCTTCTTGTGCTGTTCTAGTATGTCTCAGCACTGACCAAGCTCTTTCATTTTCCATCTCCTTTTCAACAGCTGTCTTTTCATATCTCAGTTTTACTGCTAGTTTTGTGCATTTCGAAATATCAAAATCCTTGTTCAGAGTCAAAGTCTGTCCTTTCCCATTCGTTGAAACTATTCTCGAAATGGCCATTGGCACTTCATCTTCCTCCTGTTCATCAAGTTGAGTTGATGAAGTCGATTGTTTCTTACTCTTTTCCAAACTTTCTTTTTTAATATTTACACCATACAATTGTTTAACCTGTTGTTCTGGATCTTCATCCGATTCTTCATCCGAATCAATATCATCATCATTATCATCATGTTTTACTTGAGTAAAATCATTCTGAGTCAATAATCCACTGAAAAAACTCTTCACTCCATCAAAAAGAGAACCTGTTGTTGTTGTAGCACCACCAGAAAAATCATTCATATTTCCATTAGCAGCACCACCACCACCACCAGAATTTGATGATGAATAATTAATTTCTGATTGATTGGCTGACCAAGGTTGATTCGGAGGAGGAGGAAAAGATAATATTTGATTATTAGGATCGTATGGATTGTATTGATGAGAGGGATGAGAATGATGATGATTGAAAGATTGAGCATGTTGTTGTTGAGGTGGTTGATTGTTCCCGCCGCCGCTTCCTTGTGGATCGTAGAAGAAGGTGTTGTGTTGCATTTTTTTTTCTCTTAGAGTTTCGTCAGCTATCTTGTGTGATCAAGAGTGGTGTGAGGGTTAGAGATAGTATGTTTTACAATGTTGATGGTTTAGGTTGGCTGTAGTTGAGTATGTGAACTGCTTGGTTTTTTGTTCATGTCTATTAATGTGTCTTGGTTTCGATTAAGATACACGAAAGGTCATGTGGGTAAATGGAAATATCATTTGGATAACGGAAAATTTTTTTTTTATTAAAAAAATTCAGAAAAAATTATTGTTTGATGAAGTGAAAGGTAATCCTCTTTTGCTTTGTCACTTCAAGTAAACTGTGTCTAGAAGCTATCCTCCTGCTGCCCATCCTCTATCCGAGTTTATATCTATTTTTCATCATCGTTGATATTAATAATAGTAGAAATTAGATAGTAGAAGCAATCGTACAAATGCACATTGTGGAACAACAGCAACAATTAATTCATTGTGATGAGAATTTTGCATCGCACTTAGAATATTCGATAAGCAACAAGGTATCTGTGAGGAAGGCCAAATTTGAACACGAGGAAGGATTAGGTATTGATACTCATTGCATTTTGCTCTTCATGTGATGGATTTTGGTAAATTGATAGTGTGTCATCCACGATGAAGACAAGAATGGTTCTTTTCTCAATAAAGAGCAAAAGAGTTTTCTTACTACCTATCAAGTACAGATGATATTGAAGGCCGAACCAAACACTTTCTCTGCAAAATAACCATGAGCTCATGGTGTACTTAAATAATTCAAGTAAGAATTGAAGTAGAGATTTGACCTTCCCTGATGTTCTCTCTATTGCTTTCTATCTCTTTCCAACTATTTACCAAAACCTCAGCATTACCAAAAGGTATAATCCCTCAAGCCCAGAACTCGCCTCACGCATCCACATTAGTGCCTACAAATTGCCTGTATTGATGTTTACGGGACCAAAATTTCCAAAAAAATAGCCTGACATCATTTCGAGAAACAACAAATGGAACCAACATCATCAACAACCTTCATTAATGGCAGTACTACAACATCATCAAGTACTCGATGTGGTTCTACTTCTTCCAAGCAGATACCGACGGAGGAAGAAGTGAAATCCTCTAATATTCCATCAATAACAATATCAGATAGAAACAATGATATTTCATCAAACAAATCGGCATCATCATCGCCCAAGAATGAGACAAACAACAATATGATTTATTCCAAGAATTACAACTCCAAAGTAGATCATCCTAATCAACCACAAGAAGAAGCCATCGACGATATGATGGTAAAAATATTCACCCATAAGAATGTCATTGTTGTGGTCTTTTCTTGCATTTATGTATGCTCATTGATGTATACTTATTCAGCAAAAGGTTGGCAGGGCACTATGCTGAATCTCTTTCTTACATTGGCACAAATGTATCTCAATAAGAATAATATCAAATCTACAATGTCATTGGACTTTGCTAAGGCAGACAGTTCGGAAAAACCGCGACTGATAGTTTCATTAGCAATCTTGACAGTGAGATATTTCATCTTTCCTAAAAACAAGATTACATTCATTCCTCCTACATTTATGTGGTTTGTTGGGGCCAATAAGATGTATGATGAACACAATAATTTCTGGGGATTATTGCCAGTCTACTATTTGACCTGTCTTTATGGAGGAGTTGGTATGGTGATAACTTTTAGAGAATTGATAGAGAATGGATTTGATACCTTTGTGGACTCGTTGTGTGAAACTGTTTCACTGACATGTTGCATTTGGATATTTACTTATTATCGAGTCAATGTGACTGGTTATTTGAAACAAAAAGTTGAAATTTTGGAGGAAACAAGTATGAAGCTTGAAAGTGCTCTTGCTTCGAAAAATACATTTATGGCTCACATATCTCATGAATTTAGATGTCCACTGCTCTCATCTTTGGGAAGTCTCGAGTTATTGAAAGAGACTTATCTGAGTGTAAAGCAAAATGAATTAGTGGATATGATCATTTCTTCCAATAACGTTCTACTCATGTTGATTGAAGAAATTTTACAATTAATGAAAGTTGAATTTGATTCGCGGCAGAAGAATGCAACAGAGCTAATCAAGGCAAATTTTAAAAAGTTCAGTTTGGGTGAATGCCTAAAATCATTACAAAATATTGTTACTGGGTATTCGAATCATTTCTCTGTGAATTTGAAGTTTGATTTTGATCAAGTGAACCACATTCACGTGATATCTAATCCATCAAGTTTACATCAAATTCTTTCAAACTTGATCACTAACGCCATTAAGGCATCCAAAAGAGATGACACTGTCGAACTGACAGCAAGTGTTATTGAAACAGTTCATGATGAAACACAAGAATCAATCGTTAAAATTCAATTCAAAGTTACTGACTATGGGTAAGTAATAATTTTGTTCAACTAGCAACAACAATGCAATAATACATTATTAAATGGAATAGTTATGGTATTCCAGAATCAAAGTTAGATGCCATTTTTGAGCCATTTGTTCAATTGCACAATGTAAATGAATCACATGTGCCATCATCAGGTCTTGGCTTAACAACAGTTTTACAATTTATTCAACAAATGGAAGGAACAATCCATGTAGAATCTCAAATTGGAAAAGGAAGTACCTTCACAGTTACTCTTCCCTTGAAAGTACTCAAGAATGATTCCCCAAAAGGTGTCGACGAATATTCTGATTGGGAAAATAGTGGAGCCAAGATGAGCTTTACAGTTCAGCAACGATACCTTTCTCTAATCTCCAATGTACATGAGCTGAGTGATGATCACTCCTCAGATACCTCATCCATTACTGATTCAAAGTTCAATAAGATTATCATTGCAGAGGACAATATTATTAACAGAAAAGTTATTTTCAAACTAGTGGAAAGTATTGGATATTCGGCCGATTTAGTAACAGATGGAAGGGAGTTAGTGGATCATTTCGACATTCACCATCACAAATTGGTCATTACAGATTTAAACATGCCAAATATGAATGGAATTCAAGCAGCTCAGGAATTAAAGAAGAGACATGGAAATGCAGCCAAGATTATTCTATTAACAGGTAATTCAGCCATCGATATTAAATCCCTCAACGGCATTGTTGATGGATTAGTACAGAAACCATGTTCTAAAGAGGATTTAAAAAAGTGCATTTCTCTCTATTGCGAAGATTAAATTATTATAATTTTTTGTCGTATGAATACAATGATATTTTAACACTCTTTCCATATTCTAGTTCTCAGTATTATCCAAATTAAACCATTTTACATAGTGGCGTTTAATTTTCCATTTGCGAAATTAGATTTTTATTTTCAAAAATGAAAAAAATAACAAAACTCGCCAATCAATTTAGTGTTCAAGAGAGAATGTACAAAATCCTGCTGGCCCGTGATCTAGTCTATCACGAACAAAAACAATATGAACAATTTGAATTTCAAGTCATCAAACAACAAGGTAGGCAAATTAACTATTTCTGAAACTCTTATTAAATATATTTAAAATGATTATTTAATGATGATGGTTAATGATGATGAATAGGAACTTTGGAAAATTATGTAAATCAAGTGAATGAATATAAACCTGATGGATTATTATTCATTGGATGGGCAACTCCATTCAAATTATCGGAGGATGGATTTTTCAAAAAGCTTACACCAGAAGCCTTGAATAATTTAAAGATTATTTCTAATCATGGAGTTGGATATGATAATGTTGATGTCAAGACAGCTCTCTCTATAAAATCATCACCAATTGTTGTTACTCACACACCTGATGTGGTGAGTGATGCAACAGCTGATGTTGCTTTCACTTTAATGTTGAATGCATCGAGAAAATCAAGAATATTTGAGGAACGTTTGAGACAAGTCAAGTGGAAATCTGGATTGGAAACTGTTTTGGGAAATGATTTGAGAGGAAAGACTTTGGGAATTATTGGAATGGGAAGTATTGGTAAGAAAGTAGCTCAGAGAGCTATTGGATTTGGAATGAAGATTGTTTATTATCAAAGAAACCAAAATTTAGAATTTGAGAAGAATCTCAATACTGCTGGTCAAGTTATGTTCAATGAATCTTCCACAATTCAATATTGTAAGACTTTGGACGAATTATTGGTACAGTCGGATGTGATTTCTGTCAATACTCCACTCACTGAATCAACACGTCACTTGTTGAGTAAGGCACAATTTGATAAGATGAAGCCAAATTGTCTTGTAATTAATACGGCTAGAGGAGCAGTTATCAATGAAAAGGATCTCGTTGAAGCATTGAAGAATAAGAAAATTGCTGGATGTGGTTTGGATGTTTTTGAATTTGAACCAAAGATTACTGAAGAGTTACTGGAATTGGCTAAGGAAAATCCAAACATTTCACTTCTTCCACACATTGGAACTCAAACTGTAGAAACCCGTGTAGATATGGAACGTTTGTGTCTTGTTAATTTGGAAAATTATCTTACTTTGAAGAAGAATCCACTCACTCCAGTTCCAGAACACAAACATTTATTTCAATAACTTCTAATTAAAATGGAAATATTTATTGTTGTACATCAACATTAACCATAGCTTGATCAGAAACTCCATTTTCCTGATATTGTTGTTGTTCAACAATATAATTTTCACTCTTGACATCTTGTGTGATTGGTTGTTGTGGATAAACAACTTGTTCTTGACCTTGTGGATAATACTGAGCTGTTGTTGTTTGTGGTTGTTGCATTGGATAACCTTCTTGTTGTTGTTGCTGTGGAGGATAATATTGTTCTTGTTGTTGTGGAGGATAATATTGTGTTGTTGGTTGTGGTTGACCATAACCTTGTTGTGGATATTGTTGTTGAATAATAACAGTAGTAGAACCTTCATTCTTTGGTTTGTAAGGTCCCAATATCTTTGCAACTCTAATTCTTTCAGTAAATAAATAATAATTAATCGATGTGAAAGCTCCGATAATTCCAATAGCGAATTGAATGACGAATGGAATGACAGTGACACCTGGATGAACGAATGCAAGCACAGAGGATATGACAAATCCGTTGAATGAGGTACTTGTATTGAGGATGAGTGGAGTATGAGCCAATTCTTCATTGTAATAATTATGTAATATATTTAAATATATTAAGAATGCAACTATTCAGTAATTACTTACCAGTAACCCACAATAACAAGTAAATAAACGTAAAATATTGCATACCAAGCACATATGCCATCGTATTCAATTTTACCATTCGAGAAGCAATGACAGGTGTCAATCTTGACTCTGGCATAAATAATGCCACTAATCCCATTGCTGCCATTGCCAGGAAAAAGAAACAAACAAGAACAAGAATCAGATCAGCAGTAGCATATCCTGGTATTGAGTTTCTGTAATAAGAAATCATCATTGCCATGTGGTAAATGAGCTGAAGTACGAGCCAGACAATGTGAACAATTTGGAGGACGGCATGACCAACTTTCCATGAGGAAGTTGTGGCTGTTGTGGCTGGATTATTGTTGGTATCCATCATTTTGAAGAGTTGGTTTCTATTTGTTTTTTTACAATTTGAGTTTTTTCTTGTTTTTCGAATATATTGTGGGAAACTGAAGAGTTTGTTGTTGATGAACCAAGTGTCAGCGAAAAACATGAAAGCTTGTTGATAATGACGCCACCTACGGATAATTGAGTGGTGCTTGTTTTTGTGTAACTTCCTATTTTAGGACTTGTATTTTGTAAACTTGACAACTTTTCATTCGTCCAACTTGTTAAAATGTGAATTCGTGACTGATTGGGAATATAACAAGTGTAAAATGTACAGTACATACCAAATGCAACAATTGTTTACACGCCACATAGGCAACAAGAAGAAATGTTTCAACATGTTTCCCACAACAAATCTCATTGCATTCGAAACCAACAATCAGACAAAAAAAAACCCACCAACATCAACACTTTCGCCTTTATCAAACCAAGATGGATTCCACAACTCAACAACTTCCAGAACAATCTCCTCTCTCACTCCCAGACGTTACCACCAAGAAGAAAATCTTCCACCTCGTCAATAATATTCTTCTCTTGGCATTCTGTGTTATTCTATTCCTTTATCACATCATTGCTGGTTTAATTTGGTTTATCAGTGGAATGCTTGGATATGGAATGTCAGATCTCTTTATGTTTTTCTTGAATTTCTTTACTTTATCCATTGGAATTACTGGAGTAGTTTCTCTGGCACGTGAAAATATGAATATTGCGTATAGATATACCTTGTTGAGATTTAATGTTGGTTCTGCCATGATTGGTTTGCCATTCTTGAGTGTTTGCTATTTGTTTATTTCCTTAACTGGTAAGTTTTTTATTGTAAAATTGTTGAAATTTGGTTAATTTGTTAAATTGTAAAGAGTATGCTCATTCTGTTAATAATAATTATGTTTTTGGTATCTATAATTCTCCTGGATTAAACTATGCTCACTGTACAATTGCCTTAATTTGGTCAATTGTCTCATGTGCATTGGCAATTAGTAGCTCCATAAGTGGATTTATGTATTATCAATATTTTGATGAATTTAGATTGGAAAAATCAAAGCAAGAATTAATTCAATCTTGTCAACAAAAATCACTTACCACTAGCACTTCAGTCATTGTTCAACAATAAAGATTAGTTTCATTTCTTGAAACTTTCGAATATTGCAACTCTTCCTATTGGAGTTTTTATTCAAATTAATCTACAATCACTCAACTCAAAACAGTTTACAATAATCTTCTATTACATCTCAATGAGGAGTTGTTTAATTCATTAAAGAGGACTAGCCACCTTTTCAACCACGCCAACAGCGACCTTCTGCTCAACATACCACAAGGAATAAGATAATAATCAACTCCTCCAAAGCGCTTTATCTAGTCCTCTAGAGGTGATAGGCTTTGGCGGTCTATCGAACGGAATTTTTTATCCAAATAAAAATTTGCCGCTCACCACAAGAAACACCAACAAATAAAAAACTCTACAAGAAACACCAACAAATAAAAACTCTACAAGAAACACCAACAAATAAAAAACAACCAATACCACCAACAGGGGAAAATGATGAGGAAGAAGCTATTGTCCAACAGTTCTGCTTTGAAACAAGTTATTTCATCAGCAAATGTGCCACATGCTCTCACGATGAGAAGTTTTCATGTTAATTTGAATAATTCAGATGGAGCCAACACCACAGCAGCAGCAACAACATCCACCTCCAGTACTACTACTGCCATTCCATCGGCATGTCCTTATCATCAAAAGCAACAAGCAAGTGATGTTCCTCCTCCAAAACCATTCTCTGAAATTCCTGGACCAAAGGGATGGCCACTTATTGGAAATTTACCACTTTTATATAAGAATAGTAAGAATAATATTGGACCATTCTTTATGGATCTACTGGACACGTATGGTCAAACTGTAAAATTAGATATTTTGGGAAAGAAGATTATTCTACTTTCCAATCCAGATGATATGGAGAAACTTTACAAAAATGAAGAAAAGAGAACTCAATCAGAAGGTTCTAGATTCTACAAAATGGAAAAGGGTGTCAGATTAGCCCCAATGGAAATGAGATATGAAGAAAATTGGAATGACATTCGTCAGATTTACAATATTGCAATGAAACCAGATTTTCATGAAACTGTTACACTTCCACATTTGAGTGAATTGAATTCAGAGTTTGTTAAGAGATTGATGAGATATTTGGAACCTGGTGAAGGTGATAAGTATAGATTGACAAATGCTGTTGATGCTATTTCTAAATATGGATTTGATGCTGTCATGAAGGTTTTCTTGGTAAGTTGACTTGTGATTAGCTCTGTATTTTAATGATATAATAAGGGAGTCAAAATGACTGATGAGTTGACAGCAACTTTCCCATTCAAAATTAGAGACTTCGTGGATCAATCTGTCAAATCACTTGACATTATTGGTAAATTAATGCAAAATCCACCAATTTACAAATATTACAAAACTCCACTTTACAAGCAATTGGAAGAAAGTTATGACAAGTCATTCGAATATGCCAGATATGTCATGAATAGATTTAAGAGTAATCCAAGTGATAAGCCAAGATTTTATGAATTCTTAATGGAACGTTCTAAGGATGATCCAAATCCTGATGCAATTGTTGAATCAGTCATGATTAGTTTCTTACAAGCTGGTAAGTTTTCGAATATTTTACATGAAAGTGAACTAATCATGTTGTAAAATTATCGATTATCATATTCAATTATTACAATAATAGGTATTGACATTACAATGAGAATATTATGTATCACTGCATTCCGTCTCGCTCACCATCCAGAATATCAAGAAAAGATCTATAAAGAATTATTAGATACATTCGGAGAACCAACTTTGGAAGAAGCCATCTCAGAAAATGGACTTCAAGTCACAAAAGAGCAATACAAGAAACTCAAGTTTACAAAACAATTTTTGGATGAAGTTTTAAGATTGAATCCATTCAGTTATATTGTCAGTGCTAGAGAAATGAGTAAAGATTTGGAAATTGGAGGATACATCATGCCAAAGGATTCACTTGTCATGACCGTACAACAACATCCAAGTTTGAAGGATGAATATATTCCTAGAGCTCTTGAATTTATTCCTGAAAGATGGGAGAAGGGATCTCCTTATGCTCCAACAAATAGTTTCATTTCAGCTCCGTAAGTTTTTTTTTCACCTTTCTAATTTATTCTTAATTCTCAATTGAATTCCAATAATAATTAGATTTGGAGTTGGAGCTCGTAAATGTCCTGGATCACGTATTGCTACTACTGAAATTCATTTTGCAATCATTAACTTTGTTAGACATTTCAAATTGTCACATGCTAATCCAGAAAAATTCCCAGACATGAGTTTCGATCAAGCGCTTCTCTACATTAATCTTGATAAGAATGCTCTCTATTTTACTCCTAGAGATCACTTGAAGGATCATTGCAAATCAGTTCAAAGAAAATAAATAATTTCTTTGAAGCTAATATTCCCCATGATTATGATTAGAATAATATCGTGCAAGTTAGCTTAACCTAGTATGTTGTTGTTAAAACAATTACTTGTGTCTGTTAATTTTTGTGAAGACTCCGAAGGGTATCTTTACTCTGTGATGATGAAATGATGAATTTTCTATTGTTGTTGATTATTAATATTTTTTTGAAAATCAAAAAAATCTTTAACGTTTAACAATGTAAAACATCAGCCAGGAATATATTCGAGTTAAACACACAACATTATAGGAAGAGGTTGGAGTATTGTTGAATAAGAAGGAATTTGATTATTATATCAACATGTTGTTCTTGCAATCATATGCAGATGGACCCTTATCAAATAGTTTTTCTTCCTACTCAGTAGTCATCAAGATTAAAATTATAAATATTTAATTACTTCCGTAACATCATTGGATTTTGTGAATGATAGAGTAATAATCAAACTTCCGAACACAGGAAATTAAAATTGATATATTAATATTTACTATAATTTAAATTACTAATTAAATTCCTAGAGTTTCATCAAATTATTTTCAATATTATTACTAATATTATTATTTTCATCCTTTAATAGTTCCTCTACACTGAGCACTCTCACAGAGACATTCAAAGGTTGTTCCATCAAGACCCTCATCAAATGATTCATAATCACTTGTAATTTCCTCTCCTACATTAATATCCTTTGCAGCAACCAATTCATAATCATCATCAGTAATATAATTCATGGTACTATTCGGATCACATGAGTGATTCTGGAAAGTATCAAAACCATAGAATTCTCTCATGCCATTTCCTCTCTTGACAGTGTGAACCACCTTTTCCAACCACAATCTCTTTCCATTCAATTCAACAACAATGTTGGTGTCCTCGGGGAAGATTATTGAATGATTCTTAAAGATGGTTTCACCTGCTTTGTAAGAACGAGAAGCTACCATTCTATATCCTTTACATGGACCTGATTGAATAATTACTCTGTCGATTGGACATTTCAAATCTTTCACAAACATGAATTTGTTTGTTGGATCTTCAGCCATGGCTTGCAAAACTTCATCATCCACGAATTGAATTCGCTCTTTTTGTTCTTCCAGAGTCAAGTATTTAAAACCAGCAACTCTACCAATACAATTACTTGAACCACAACAACACTTTTCAATTACCTTTCCATGACAATCATATTCGAAAATGTTATAATCACAAGTAATTTGATCTCCTGGATTAATATCACGTAAAGCAACCATAGCATATTGATTAGTAATCTTCATTTCCTCTGTTTGTTCACTAATAGTGCTTGGATCACAACTATGATTCATGAACGAATCGAACAAGTACAACCACCTTTGATTTTCGTTAAATTGAACAGAGTGAGTGTCTGTATTCAATTTAAATGTTCCCTGATCGGTGATAAGAGTAAATTCAGCATAGACATTTGGAATGACAATTTGTCTACCAACATAAACAGAAGAGTTTTTAGCAAAGAATTTGGTGGCAAACAAGCCAAAACCATATTCACCAGCTTTGATTGCGATTCCCTCTGGTATTGTTTCATGAATTGTATGGGAAGGAGAAGAGGCCATTATGTTGAATTTTTTCTTCAGTGAAGAGAGATGTAAGTTGTTGTACGACAGAATTTCTCGCGTGAAAATCACGCCAAAACATATCACCAATAACAGGAATTCATCTCCTTTCATCAAGTTTGCGTATATGACAGAGCTTATTGTTGCGTTCACTTGCTAAAGTCTATTTACTATATAGTAATAATTTGAAAAAGTTGCCTATCAAGTATTAAAGAAGTATATTTAATTGACTAATAACGGTTTGTTAATGTTTCAAGAAGATTGGCTATGTACTTTTAGCAGAATCATGATTTGTTATCATGAATATTCCGAATTTGGTAAACAACAATATAAATAATAAATATATTGTTTATTATGTATTTGAATAGTATTTCTGTGTTTTTGATGTTCTTGTATTTGAATTGGTGCTAAACTTGTTAATTTTCTTTTGCTTAATAGCTGTGTTGAACAAGTGTGAAACTACCTTTAATTGCGGTGCGCATTTATTCCGATATCATTAAGGAACAATATTTATTAATATTATTTAGAGTGATGTTTCTCACTCCACAAATTATTTGCTTGTTGGCAGTACTAATAGCAGTATAATCGCAACGCTATTGGTGGAGGTACCATCTCTTATTCATCAAGTTGAATCTTAGTAACTTCTCCCATAATGTTTAATAAAGTATTGTTGGAGTTGTTTGGGTCAGTTTTATACACTTTCATTGTAAATTTATTAAATATCAAGTGGGTAATATTGAATTCTTTGTAGGAGCGGAAGCACTTACTCTTGTCAGTTGGAGTCAGTATTGTATTAAGGTTCATTTAAGGAATCTTAAAAAATACAATAACAACTCACCTGCATCAATATCATCAAGTATATCATCTATATTGAATATGGAGCAACAGCAAGAATGTATGGAGTTGGTTCAACATGATTATTGTATTTGTCAAGGTTTGGAATACCACTGAACATTCTAATTTCACCCTTTTCACTACCCTCAGGATCATCAGCAAGGTTTCCTGTTCTCTTCTTGTTAGAGAGAGGTTTTTCATGAACAAGATAGTCATCTTCTTTGCTTTATTATTAAGTACTGAGAGTAGCGTTTTAGATTTATTTTGAAGAAATAAATAAAAATTTATTACGCACAAAACATCAACCACATGCCATCATCATCAATCGGTGAATTGGCCATCATCATTATTGAATAATTTCTTGGAATTTATTGGATTAATAGTAGTTTATGGATTATTTGTTGGAATTACTATCCTATTGAAGATGGAACATCAGCAACATCATCAAAATGATCTTGTTGAGGGAAGATGTTCAACCTTGTTTTGGGCGGTAGAATATCGTACCTCCACTCTACTCTCCTATTTTGATTGTATTGGTCCAAAGTTCATTTTCTGAATCAGCATATCCAGCAAAGGCCCCTCATCCAGCAAGTCACCAACCAAAAAAACACCGAATAATGCTTTTTTTCACAAATAACTCCTTCTTAATTTCACAAATAACTCCTTTGCAAAATTGGATAATTATCCAAAGAGTTGTTCCAATTCAGCAAATTCAATGAAGAAAAATATAAAGTGCTGATTTATTCTAAACCTGAGGGATTAACAACTTTTATATATTTTGATGTATACATATTATATTTGCTGTTCCTATTAACTTATGCATTGTGGCTTCAAGTTGGCATACTGTAACAACAATCTAAGGACTTGAAAAATATTCATAAAATGTATTCTTCATAACAAAACATAATCTAAATTAGTATCAACATCTTGTTTTATTTGCCATGTGATCCATCCACAAAAGTGACTGTATGAGAAGAATCTTAATTCCACCTTAATTTTTAATTTTTTGTTCTGAAACAGCAAATCAACGGAAAATATTAATGAAAAGACATCATGTGATGAAATCCAGTAGAGAATGCATAAAACTGATTTTGATTCAAGAAAACACAACCCGTATACAATTTCCAGATCAATGTTTGATCAAAATCGCGAAGCTTTTTGGTTATGGTTGTATTGAAGTTTGATATCTCGGATCATTGGTTTTGATATTGAGTTTGCTAGGCGACTTATGATGTCAAAATAAAAAAATAAAACTGGGTACCTATTTATGTAGACATCAAAACTTGATACCAAAATTGTTGTAAATAATTGGGTTGGAGAATCTCGGATACCTCTTACTCCAATCTCTTATTGATTCAAGATTTTGAAATTGTTTATTATTGAATTTTTATCGAAGCTTATTGTGACACCAATTGATTGAAGAATGGGAAAGTGGCTGCATTAATTCAACATCTTGAAAGTGAACAAGGTTCTCATCTCAAGATTTAACTTAGTCGTCGCTAACATTTCATTAGTATTGTTGTAAAGAAGTTCCATAAACTTCATTCTCAAAACAAGTTGTTGAGAGGCTGTAGCCACAACCAATGAAATTGGAATAACAAAATTAGTGAAATATGAATCAACCATATAAACATTGATATTCAATTGAAAGATAAGACAAGTGTTTCATATCACGAATGACTGTTTCTCCTTCAATCTGAATTTCATTTTCTGAAATATCTAGGTGTGTTAATTTATCCATTCTACTGATTGAGATGGCACCCGCATTACCAATGAAACAATCTTGGATATAAAGTTCATTCAATTGTTTCATTTCACTAATCATCCTTGCTCCTTCATCACCAATTCCAAAATTTTGACTAATGTAAAGTACAGTCAATTGATCCAATTCACTAATTGACTTGGCTCCAATAGGACTAATTCCATTTAACGAAATATCGAGAATTTTCAATGATTTGATTTCACTTATAAATTTGGCTCCTTCATCACCAATATTATTGTAAGCAATATTTAGGAATGTTAAATTATTCAATTTTGAAATAAATTTTGCAGATTTTGATGTAATTCTCAAGCTGCTAACTGTTAGATCAGTAAGATTGTCTAATTGACAAATTGATTCTATACCTTCATCATTGATGGGATTATTACCAATGTTAAGGTAGGTCAAATTTCTTAATTCACTGATGGATTTGGCTCCTTCATTGAAGATTTGATTGATTTCCAAATCAAGGCATGTCAACTGTTTCATTTCACTAATTAATTTAACCATATTGTCATCAATTAGATTATTTCCAATTTCCAAAGTGGTCAATTGAGTCATACGTCCTAACATGTTAAACCAATTGTCATTTAAAATATTGCGTGCAAATGTTATTGATACAAAACAATCCAAAAATTCATTATTTACTTGATTGACCAAATGATTATTCGCCATCATTGAAAGCTCGGATCGATCTCGGATGACCTTCAACCATTGTTTTGTTACCATTACACAATTTAATAATACGAATTTCCAATCATCACATAAATAGGAAATAATTTCATAAATTACATCATCAGAAAATATTTCTATTGCAATTATTAGCGAAACTTTGATCATCACACAAACCTTTAACTTGAGTCATTTTTTTCAATATTTCCAGATACTACCGTGTTCCATCGAACATCGGAACAACTACCAACCATCATTATTGTTATTTATCATCATTATATAATAGTAATTTTTGTGGAAATAAATCTGATAATAGTAATATTTTAGTGAAATTCACTGCCAGATTCTAATGATAATTTGGAAAACTTTCAATCTATTGTATTGTTCAGCATGATCTATTCCATCAGGTAAAATCACTTCCGAACTTTTTCCTATCTCAACATGTAATAATATTATTTCTCCGGAGATCAAGTATTTGAAAGCAGGAGTGGGTAGTTAATCAATTTCACAATTAAAAAAAATGAAACTAAACGAATTGGAAGCAGATGTTTTTCCTCTCATTTACTCATTCATTTATGAGTTGCCATTAAAAAGTTACGAGAAACAAGAAGGAAATAGCTCAATAGGATGGAGTACATTGGCCTTCCCACATACCTGCTCTAAAATTCTGACAAGTTTAGATTCGTATGCACCATTCCAATTCGAAAAGTTTATTCAATTTTATTGTCTTGGAATTAAGAATCATAGGTATGAAGAACTGGAACCAATTATTAATGGACAAGATGCAGAGTTAAAGGATATAATTCCTGTGGTTTTCTATTTGAATTTCCCACAATTGAGTTTTATTGAACATTTACAATTCGAAAGAGATTTAATTCCAATGGAGAGAAAAATTAGAAAATCTTTGAGTATTACTAGAAATAGATATGAAGATTTTCTATTCAAAATTGATAGAATTATTGAAATGTTATCTTCCTTCATTAAAATAATTAAAAAGAAACTTGGAGTGGATGAATTGACTCAAGAAATGGGACAAGTTTTTCAATTGACTGATACAAAGATTCTGCTTCCAATTTCTAGTTTAGTATCTGTAATTGAAAACGTTGATCAAGTTGTGAACAAGTGTATGAAAATATTTCATTGGAAAGCTTTTCGAAACTATTACTTTGAAGAAGAATATCTGCAAGTTCCAAAAGAATTACCTCTCATTAACAAAAAGTACAGAGACTGTGAAAGAATAATCTCAATCTTGAAGAATAATGAATCATTTGAGAGGGCAGATGAGTTGTTAGACTTGTTGTCAAATCTCGAATGTTACTATTGTGATAAGCTTGCTGCTAGTATTAGTCAACTCTTTTTCCAAGGACAATTTGTAAGAAATAGAACTAATATCAAGCTATTAAGGATGATGCTGTATTATGGAATGTATAATAACTCTGCTCTCTTTATGAAATGTCCAGAAGAAATTCAAAATGATGAGGAAATTGTAAAACGATTCGTTTTTTCCAGTCCAAATATGTATTCCCATATTCCTAGCAAGTTTAAACAAGATAGTTCAATAATTGAGATGTGTATTTTCCAAAGTGATAGTTCTATTGAATTTATTTATGAAGAAACAGTAGGAAGAGATTCTTTGTTCTACAGTTTAGTACAGTATCCAACAATATTTTACACTTACCTAGCAAAATGCACAGAAACTCAATTTGTGCAAGATGTTATTGAAATTTTCATTGAAGTTCTCAAACATGATAAATTCCATCCAACTCTTCAGTCTTTCTTTAGAGATGGTATGTTTTTACGGTCTATCCTATCTCATGGAAGAATTCTAAGTGAACAAAGAGATTGGGATGATCCAGCTATCCAAGAAATCAGATCTGATTTTGAAGCTTATCTGAGTGTTATTGACACTTTCAAACGTGAGTATCTCAATGACCATACCAGTACTTCAGACCTCCTCAAGTTGATCTAATAAATTGTATGGCCTCAGATACCCCATTCTAATATTGATTCAATTTGATACACACCTTATTGATACAACACTTGATTGATATTTAGAATTAATCATGTTGAATATGTTTAATTAATAAATTTTCAACTTTTCCAAAAATCAACTTCAACAATTAATGTACGATTATACGAATGATATTATAATCATTTCCAATTTCATATATATGATATAAAATGATGAAATATACCTTTTAGATTTGTTGAAAATATAATATATGATATCCTTAGTATTCTGTACTCATACTTCCTAAGGTGTTGACCAAGATGTTGACCTAAAATATGGAAATACTCTAAAATTCAATCATACTGATAAATACAGTAGTTAATATGAATATTTATGATAAATCACTGAAGCAACCATGATTGGATCCCTTTTTGAAACTTTTGGAAGTCAACTTGGATGAAAGTAGGGAACGTTTGCTATGGTTAACACTTTTAAAGGGATATGAATATTTTATTGGATACTATCTGTTTTTACTGTACTTTATCAATAAATATTGAATATCATGATGTTACAATCTATATTTCCAATTTGGGAAATGTTGCAGTTTTAATGTTTAATTGAAATATTGCCATCACGCCAATAATATCATAAAAATGATATTATATACTTTAATTGAGATGTATATGAATATAGAATTGAAAGATTTGATTTTAGACATTTATTAATGGCATGGGTAGTTCACTATGGTAGTAACTTATATGATAACTGTCTAAGATAATGTTCAAGTCATTCCTAAATTGATATTATAAGAATATATAATGATTAAAACATTATAATAATTAATTGGAATTGATTATTAAACTGTATTGACGTATAAGAATGTTACCTTTGATGAATTGGGTCAGTAACTTGACAGATAAACCAGTTATATTGATGTTGATTTAAATTACCTCAGAAACGTTACAAATATCATTTATAAGAGTAGTGGTATGATATTTTATATTGTTGTATATCTTGATTTTGACTTGTAACGTGGTCATGAGTAATTGCTGACAGGGTTGTATACTGATTGTGTCCAATTGATATGAAATTGATAGAAACCTATTTATATGATGTTTATAAACATATGGTATCAGTTTGGTAAAGAATCTCATTGTCCTTAGGGTATTTTCCTATTGAGGTACCTTAATTGACCATCTCTATATTTAAATTGAGGTATGATGTTTATTTCAATTGTCATGTAAATGATGGATAAGTAGCCAAGGTGCGCATATGACACTGAATGGTGTAGAATCGGTATAACATTATTTTCAACATTTGCAAGTGCCATTTCTCATCATCCCACAAAAATTGTTTTTACATTAATTGCTAATGATTTTTATTAATTTTTATTAAGTCAATTTTATTAATAATTAATGAAAAGTCGTTAATAAAAACGTTAAACCTTGTTCGTGAAGAAAATCGACTTTTAATGCGTTATTTTAACGTCATTAATTAATATTAATTATTAATGCTAATTCGCCAATAAACTGAGTGTT